AAACTTCAGGTATGGTATCCATAGTATATAGATTCATGTCCTGTCTATCGGTCTTAAACTCCAGGTATGGTATCCATAGTATATAGATTCATGTCCTGTCTATCGGTCTTAAACTCCAGGTATGGTATCCATAGTATATAGATTCATGTCCTGTCTATCGGTCTTAAACTCCAGGTATGATATCCATAGTATATAGATTCATGTCCTGTCTATCGGTCTTAAACTTCAGGCATGGTATCCATAGCAAATAGATTCATGTCCTGTCTATCGGTCTTAAACAGGTATGGTATCCATAGTATATAGATTCATGTCCTGTCTATCGGTCTTCCAGGTATGATATCCATAGTATATAGATTCATGTCCTGTCTATCGGTCTTTAAACTTCAGGCATGGTATCCATAGTATATAGATTCAATGTCCTGTCTATCGGTCTTAAACTCCAGGGTCCAGGATATCCATAGTATATAGATTCATGTCCTGTCTATCGGTCTTAAACTCCTGTCTAGGTATGATCATGATATCCATCAGTCTATCGGTCTTAAATAGATTCATCCAATAGATTGTCCTGTCTGTCTAGGTATGGTCTTAAATTCATGTCCTCCAGGTACTCCAGGTATGATATCCATAGTATATAGATTCATGTCCTGTCTATCGGTCTTAAACTCCAGGTATGATATCCATAGTAAATAGATTCATGTCCTGTCTATCGGTCTTAAACTCCAGGTAAATGGTATCCATAGTATATAGATTCATGTCCTGTCTATCGGTCTTAAACTCCAGGTATGATATCCATAGTATATAGATTCATGTCCTGTCTATCGGTCTTAAACTCCAGGTATGGTATCCATAGTATATAGATTCATGTCCTGTCTATCGGTCTTAAACTCCAGGTATGGTATCCATAGTATATAGATTCATGTCCTGTCTATCGGTCTTAAACTCCAGGTATGGTATCCATAGTATATAGATTCATGTCCTGTCTATCGGTCTTAAACTCCAGGTATGATATCCATAGTATATAGATTCATGTCCTGTCTATCGGTCTTAAACTCCAGGTATGGTATCCATAGTATATAGATTCATGTCCTGTCTATCGGTCTTAAACAGGTATGATATCCAGGTATGGTATCCATAGCAAATAGATTCATGTCCTGTCTATCGGTCTTAAACTCCAGGTATGGTATCCATAGTATATAGATTCATGTCCTGTCTATCGGTCTTAAACTCCAGGTATGGTATCCATAGTATATAGATTCATGTCCTGTCTATCGGTCTTAAACTCCAGGTATGATATCCATAGTATATAGATTCATGTCCTGTCTATCGGTCTTAAACTTCAGGCATGGTATCCATAGCAAATAGATTCATGTCCTGTCTATCGGTCTTAAACTCCAGGTATGGTATCAATAGTATATAGATTCATGTCCTGTCTATCGGTCTTAAACTCCAGGTATGGTATCCATAGTATATAGATTCATGTCCTGTCTATCGGTCTTAAACTCCAGGTATGGTATCCATAGTATATAGATTCATGTCCTGTCTATCGGTCTTAAACTCCAGGTATGATATCCATAGTATATAGATTCATGTCCTGTCTATCGATCTTCTTAAACTTCAGGCATGGTATCCATAGTATATAGATTCATGTCCTGTCTATCGGTCTTAAACTCCAGGTATGATATCCATAGTATATAGATTCATGTCCTGTCTATCGGTCTTAAACTTCAGGCATGGTATCCATAGCAAATAGATTCATGTCCTGTCTATCGGTCTTAAACTCCAGGTATGGTATCCATAGTATATAGATTCATGTCCTGTCTATCGGTCTTAAACTCCAGGTATGGTATCCATAGTATATAGATTCATGTCCTGTCTATTGGTCTTAAACTCCAGGTATGGTATCCATAGTATATAGATTCATGTCCTGTCTATCGGTCTTAAACTCCAGGTATGGTATCCATAGTATATAGATTCATGTCCTGTCTATCGGTCTTAAACTCCAGGTAGGATATCCATAGTATATAGATTCATGTCCTGTCTATCGGTCTTAAACTCCAGGTATGGTATCCATAGTATATAGATTCATGTCCTGTCTATCGGTCTTAAACTCCAGGTATGATATCCATAGTATATAGATTCATGTCCTGTCTATCGGTCTTAAACTCCAGGTATGATATCCATAGTATATAGATTCATGTCCTGTCTATCGGTCTTAAACTCCAGGTATGGTATCCATAGTATATAGATTCATGTCCTGTCTATAGGTCTTAAACACCAGGTATGGTATCCATAGTATATAGATTCATGTCCTGTCTATCGGTCTTAAACTCCAGGTATGGTATCCATAGTATATAGATTCATGTCCTGTCTATCGGTCTTAAACTCCAGGAATGGTATCCATAGTATATAGATTCATTTCCTGTCTATCGGTCTTAAACTTCAGGCATGGTATCCATAGCAAATAGATTCATGTCCTGTCTATCGGTCTTAAACTCCAGGTATGGTATCCATAGTATATAGATTCATGTCCTGTCTATCGGTCTTAAACTCCAGGTATGATATCCATAGTAAATAGATTCATGTCCTGTCTATCGGTCTTAAACTCCAGGTATGGTATCCATAGTATATAGATTCATGTCCTGTCTATCGGTCTTAAACTCCAGGTATGGTATCCATAGTATATAGATTCATGTCCTGTCTATCGGTCTTAAACTCCAGGTATGGTATCCATAGTATATAGATTCATGTCCTGTCTATCGGTCTTAAACTCCAGGTATGGTATCCATAGTATATAGATTCATGTCCTGTCTATCGGTCTTAAACTCCAGGTATGATATCCATAGTATATAGATTCATGTCCTGTCTATCGGTCTTAAACTTCAGGCATGGTATCCATAGTATATAGATTCATGTCCTGTCTATCGGTCTTAAACTCCAGGTATGATATCCATAGTATATAGATTCATGTCCTGTCTATCGGTCTTAAACTTCAGGCATGGTATCCATAGTATATAGATTCATGTCCTGTCTATCGGTCTTAAACTCCAGGTATGATATCCATAGTATATAGATTCATGTCCTGTCTATCGGTCTTAAACTTCAGGCATGGTATCCATAGCAAATAGATTCATGTCCTGTCTATCGGTCTTAAACTCCAGGTATGGTATCCATAGTATATAGATTCATGTCCTGTCTATCGGTCTTAAACTCCAGGTATGATATCCATAGCAAATAGATTCATGTCCTGTCTATCGGTCTTAAACTCCAGGTATGGTATCCATAGTATATAGATTCATGTCCTGTCTATCGGTCTTAAACTCCAGGTATGGTATCCATAGTATATAGATTCATGTCCTGTCTATCGGTCTTAAACTCCAGGTATGGTATCCATAGTATATAGATTCATGTCCTGTCTATCGGTCTTAAACTCCAGGTATGATATCCATAGTATATAGATTCATGTCCTGTCTATCGGTCTTAAACTCCAGGTATGGTATCCATAGTATATAGATTCATGTCCTGTCTATCGGTCTTAAACTCCAGGTATGATATCCATAGTATATAGATTCATGTCCTGTCTATCGGTCTTAAACTCCAGGTATGATATCCATAGTATATAGATTCATGTCCTGTCTATCGGTCTTAAACTCCAGGTATGGTATCCATAGTATATAGATTCATGTCCTGTCTATCGGTCTTAAACTCCAGGTATGGTATCCATAGTATATAGATTCATGTCCTGTCTATCGGTCTTAAACTCCAGGTATGGTATCCATAGTATATAGATTCATGTCCTGTCTATCGGTCTTAAACTCCAGGTATGATATCCATAGTATATAGATTCATGTCCTGTCTATCGGTCTTAAACTTCAGGCATGGTATCCATAGCAAATAGATTCATGTCCTGTCTATCGGTCTTAAACTCCAGGTATGGTATCCATAGTATATAGATTCATGTCCTGTCTATCGGTCTTAAACTCCAGGTATGATATCCATAGTATATAGATTCATGTCCTGTCTATCGGTCTTAAACTCCAGGTATGGTATCCATAGTATATAGATTCATGTCCTGTCTATCGGTCTTAAACTCCAGGTATGGTATCCATAGTATATAGATTCATGTCCTGTCTATCGGTCTTAAACTCCAGGTATGGTATCCATAGTATATAGATTCATGTCCTGTCTATCGGTCTTAAACTCCAGGTATGGTATCCATAGTATATAGATTCATGTCCTGTCTATCGGTCTTAAACTCCAGGTATGGTATCCATAGTATATAGATTCATGTCCTGTCTATCGGTCTTAAACTCCAGGTATAGTATCCATAGTATATAGATTCATGTCCTGTCTATCGGTCTTAAACTCCAGGTATGATATCCATAGTATATAGATTCATGTCCTGTCTATCGGTCTTAAACTCCAGGTATGATATCCATAGTATATAGATTCATGTCCTGTCTATCGGTCTTAAACTCCAGGTATGGTATCCATAGTATATAGATTCATGTCCTGTCTATCGGTCTTAAACTCCAGGTATGGTATCCATAGTATATAGATTCATGTCCTGTCTATCGGTCTTAAACTCCAGGTATGGTATCCATAGTATATAGATTCATGTCCTGTCTATCGGTCTTAAACTCCAGGTATGATATCCATAGTATATAGATTCATGTCCTGTCTATCGGTCTTAAACTCCAGGTATGGTATCCATAGTATATAGATTCATGTCCTGTCTATCGGTCTTAAACTCCAGGTATGGTATCCATAGTATATAGATTCATGTCCTGTCTATCGGTCTTAAACTCCAGGTATGGTATCCATAGTATATAGATTCATGTCCTGTCTATCGGTCTTAAACTCCAGGTATGATATTCATAGTATATAGACTCATGTCACTTAGTCACTGAATATATATACCTTTGATGTAAACAAAGAACTCCATTTAATTTGGAAAGGAGCTCCAGTGAGTTCCCGAGCCTGAGGAAATCTAGACGTGCTTCATTTAGGGCGTTGGCATTGCACAAAGGGTTCGGCGGAAGAGAAAATAATGTGGTTCAGAGAGGGTGAGACAGACTAGCGTGTGGCCTAGAGATGTGGAGCCATGATCAACCACCGTTTGATCGAGAGTCGTATAACGTCTGTCTGAGCGTCCCCCAAAGCTGTACCCGTGAAGATATGGATTCGAATTGACCTATAGAAACCCATGCTTGTCGTAGAAGGCGACACCGACATGTCATCGTATCCCAAATGCACAGATAGATGCTCATGCTGTTGATCACTGGATCATCTGGTCCTGACTTGATAACAGACAGACCGCCGAGTGCGGCGTTAAACAACAACCAAATCTGTGAATATACCGAAAGGACTACTGGTGCACTGACTGGTGAAATTTGACTACCTAAATCTTAGAATATTCTGAAAAGACCGTTACAGTCCACATGAAGTGAATTTTGTCTATCTAAATGCTGAAGTTATCTGCTACACATGTACACTACATATGATGCAAACGGATATGTATACTTCGAGATAATATATATTTAGATTCCTGTGATGCTTGTGACTGTGTCTGAGGTTGTCGAGTTCTCGTGTTTAAGGATCGCAATTTCCTCCGCGATTGCCACCGTCAGATGGGCAGGAAGGGGAACAGCACCACTCTGAGAAGCAACTACTACCCTCCTCTTACTGGACGTAAGCTTCCATCATTATTTCATATTGATTTGGGATGTTTTGGAGAATTGTCATGGTTGTGGTCATGCTTAATCATGGTTTCCTGTATCCATTCTATAATTGTACCGCTGGATGAATGAATTCCGTCCAATATTTTCAATATATTTCTCAATGAATGAATGAATTAATTAATTAATGAAAGAATGGATGGATGAGTGAATGAATGAATGAAAGAAGGAATGATGCATGGGTAGATATGCTTGTGATATTTTAATATGATACGAAACATTATTTCTTCGAAATGACATTTAAAAAAGGACATGTATTATTTTGTTGTGGATTACAGATATAGACAAAAACGTAATTGTAATTTCAAATGGACAGTTATCTCTAAAGAGCATGTTATCATTCTTGTAAACTACAAAGACTTTCCAATTCTGCTTCTACAGCCGTGAAGCCAGGTCAAGTTCGTTATGAGAACACTCCGATTTTGGGACAGTGACACTGTTGTTCCAAGACGACATTGGAGGCTTAGAGGTAAGGATTTCTGTGGGTTTCAAAAAGAGACATTTAAACGATAACATGCCGGAATCGGGAAACGGATCTAGTTATGACTTCAACCATTTCGAAAATAATACGTACATACATTCTGCAATGTATATTAATTACAGTTCACAATCCCTTAACGCGGTCGAAGATGACATGGAAATATATCCTGTAACCTCACGTTGTGTGTTCAAATAGGATCGGTTCAGTTATAGTTGAATCAGAACCAACATAACTGTGTCAATCCAATTGAGAGACACATCACATAAATCACATGGTAAACAATGTTTCCACTATTATAAGAAGGAAAGCTTTGACTAGGTGGTGTTTTTGAAGACATCGTCACACGGCTGTGCGTGTGAGTGTCTGACGTAGTCTATATACGAGGGGATATCAAACAGTTCTAATTATCACCAATACTTATTCAGGGTACAAACTTTATTTTGTTTTCTTGTCCTTATGATTTCTCTACATAGTCACCGTCCCGAGTTACACATTTCTGCCACCGTTTCTTGACCTTGCGCAGACCGGCTGAATAGAGGTACCCTGATTTCATGCATCTTGGCCTTTTTCGGAGGTGGTGACGTGGCATGTTTCCACTCTTTACTCAAGTCTTTTGTCTCAGGATCATACAAATAGACCCAACATTCGTCCATGGTTACAAGATATCTGAAGAAATCCTCTTCACCCTGCTACAGAAGCTCCAATGCCTGTCGTGACATGTCCCGTCGAGTCTGTCTTTGAAGATGAGTCAGTAAGCGAGGAACCCAGCGTGCTGACACTTTGGACATGTGCAGTTGGTTATGAATGATGTTCCATGCTCTGCCATAACTCAAGTTGGTCTCATGCATAACCATTTGTATTGTTACACGGCGATCTTCCTGAACCAGCGCCTCGACTTTGTTCACGGTGTCCAAATCATCAGTAAGTGAGGGGCGTCCACTTCTTGGCTCATCTGTGAGGGACATGTGACCAGTTTGGAAATTCCTTTTCGATGTCACAACCGTGTCATAGGATGGGTTATCATCACCATAAACAGATTTCATCTCATCGTGAATTTGTCGTGCAGTGCAGCCCATCAAGTGCAAGAACTTAATTACTCTGCGCGCCTCAATATTCTCCATACTTGGGGGTACTGGTGTGTATGATCAACTAGCACAAGACTGAATATAGGAAGTATATAGTACTTGGTCCATTAACTAGATAAGGATCACTGATGTTACAGTCAAAATTTTATCCTGATTGCGCAATAACTTCTTGGGGATAATTAGAATTTTTTGATACCCCCTCGTATGTAGTACGTGTATTTGGCGATGAACATTGATTCAGTACATGCGTTTATAATGAATACAATTGACAAAACATGTCCATGTCCTCTATTTTCAGAGAGGTGATGTTTTACTTTCGGTGAGGTGAGGTGAAATTGGATTTAACGTCGTACTTGAGAATATTTCGCTCATATGACGACGTGCATGCGTGTGTATGTGTATGTGCGGCTGCTTGTACTAGCCCAGACTGAAGCGGGCGGACGCTCTAACCGCTACACCACGGAGGCGGTCTCACTTTCGGTGTATGTGGGTGATGAACACTGGTGACTGTGTGGTATGTGGTTTGACATGTTTGAGTTGATAGATGGTGATGATAACTATGTAGTATGACATGTTTCAGGTGATGAACACTGATGACGTGTATTTGCTATGACATGTTTCAGGTGATGAACACTGATGACGTGTATGTGCTATGACATGTTTCAGGTGATGAACACTGATGACATGTATGTGCTATGACATGTTTCAGGTGATGAACACTGATGACATGTATGTGGCATGACATGTTTCAGGTGATGAACAGCGATGACATGTATGTGGTATGACCTGTTTCAGGTGATGAACACTGATGACATGTATGTGTTATATGTTTCTGTCGATGAACACTGACGGCATGTATATGGTATGACATGTTTCAGACGATGAAGACTGGTGACATGTATGTGGTGTGATGGTCAAGGTGATGGTCAAGGCCGAATGTTCGACACTGGGCACAATGATGTTCCCCGCCGTGATATTGCTGGATGTATGTGGTATGACATTAATGCCGAACGCCAGGCAGGGACCAACAAGTACCATATTTTATCGTCTTTTGGTATGACGCGGCAGGGATTTAACCCGCGACCCTCCGCTCTCCCGGCGGACGCTCTAACCACTACACCACGGAGGCGGTTTCACTTTCGGTGTATGTGGGTGATGAACACTGGTGACAGTGTGGTATGACATGTTTCAGTTGATGAACACTGATGGCATGTGGTATGACATGTTTCAGGTGATGAACACTGATGACGTGTATGTTCCTGTCAATCCTGTCCCCGGCGCCATCGTGGTCAACATCGGTGACATGATGCAGCGATGGACTGCAGATAACATTAGAGCCGCAGTGAGCACACCATAAACATCCGACCATGATCAGTGGTTTTACAACACATTGTACAAGGCCAGAAACGAGTAACCTCAGTTTTCTTTCGAAATAGGCTTGTGAAAGTTAATTTTATATTTGTTTTTGGGTTGAGATTGTACATTCCAATTGTTAATGCCTCATAACTCTCGGTCTGAGACGCATTTCTATTCATGGATTCTATACACACAACATTTTGCCATGACAGGGCTCAGTGTTGCCTACAGACTTGTTGTCAAATTGAACATGGACATAATCGCTCATCATATTCTCGTCAATTTAACAGTTATTTATGTTACCTTCAGTATGTCCCCTAACAACAGTTGTATTTAATCTCAACAGATATTACTCATTCTGATATTATTCGGCTTTTAACCTTTTTTGACACACTTTTAAGAATCTTTAACTAAACAAAAGCCTGCGTCCATTCTGACACTCGTTTTAGGGTCAAGCTGACCAAATAAGACGTATATGGATAAAGTAGACCAAGTAAGATAAAACATACCCTTTAGTTTGCAATCGACCTCGCTGACACTTTTTCTTGTTGCACTTACTTGTGGGAATTGCATCGGCTTGACTTCAGTTGGGAAATAAACGAAATTAAGCTTTTATAGATCAGCAACATTATGCCAAAACGAAGAGACAGGAATTGTCAAGAGACTGGGCGTAAATAGTAATGCATTTAAACGTTAAGCAGCGTGGCACTGAACGGTTCGGTAGCCGAGTCATTCCGAAAACCCGGGTTCGATTCCCTATATAGTTACAATGCATGAAGCCTATGTCTGGTGTTCCCTACCGTGATATTGCTGGAATATTGCTAAAAGGGACATAAACCCACACTCACTTACTCACTGCATTACACTGCTGCTTTGGTACCACATTTGCAGATTTGCACTGACAAGGTTGAATAGTCCGTCTGGTTATCCGTGTCAACAGTATTTGAATGAGTTCTTGGTCACGACTCAACCAATATTGCTGCTTTTCAGAGTGAAAAGTGTCTGTGCCTATTTGTGTCAACAGTATTTGAATGGGTTCTTGGTCACGACTCAGCCAATATTGCTGCTTTTCAGAGAGTGAAGCCAGACACAGAGCTAACGTGTGCACAAAAGCAAATTAGTTTCATAGGTGTGTCAAGTATGTCATGAATGTTTCCTATTTTCAGAAACACCGAGTCCTGATTCCTGAATCGGAAGTGAAGAAACGTCAGTACCGACAGTCGCTTGCATTTTTTGTCAACCCTGATGATGACACCATCATTAAAAGTCTGGATGGTTCCGACAAATACGAATCCATCTCAAGCTTGGATTATCTGGAGCACAAGTTCCGTCAGATTTTTTAGTTTAAAAAAAGAAACTTAGCAAATATGTACATGATGATTTCCTCTAAAGAACACTAGCCCTTGACTTTCCAAACTTTGTGTTATTTCAGTACAAAATTTGCTGAATGAAATGAATTGCCCCACTCCTTCTACACAGTCTTGTTCCTCGTTGAGGAAAAAACTGACATCATTATTTGAAAGCATTTCTGCTTGAATTGATCAATGACCCAATCTTGCAACATAAGGTTTTCCTGTGCAAACATAATTTTTAAGTTTAACACTCGATTCTCAGTATTTGCACTATTTTGTATTGAATTCATAATTGTTACGAGTCGATTTTCAATTTTTTCAATAAGCTGACAAAATATCTGTTCGTAATTTTGAGTGATACCAAAAATGTTGGTTGCTGTTTGGATGTTCATGTTCACTGAAAACAGAATTGTTTTCTTACATAGTTTGAACTAAACCAGTCCCCTGTGTTTATGTGTTTAAACCAAACCGGAAGTAGTGCCCATGTCGGTATTAAGGTTGCAGTATTTTTCAGCCATTTAATGGGACTATGTGTATAGGCGAAGCACTGGCCGCTATCATATTCTTTCAGTCCGAGGGTTCAGATATGCACAACGAACTAAATAAAGCGCCCCCTGTATGTTTGTTTGATAGGTTTTCAACACGCTCATAAAACGTCTCGTGGTGACCACGATGGAAAAACATGTTTGACATGTATGAACTTTTGACTCATAAACAACGACAAAATGATTGGAATCTGTGTTGAGTTCATGATTCCAATTGCTCTTTTTTTTAAAAAACAACATTGATTTTTCATACATAACTATGTCTGAACAGGTATGGCCCTGGAATGTTTAAGGTTGAATTTTTTGGTAAGTGTGAACATTCAAAATGTCTTTTTGCATGTCTTACCCGATTCAAGATCAATACCGAGTCTAGCCGAGACTGTATGACAGCCAGCACTCTCCTCCTCATACCCTCTATCAGCCTCCTGATCCTCCGAAGGGGTAGTCCACGCCATTCCTCATGTAAAGCAGCTTCCAATTGGGCCAGGTTCTGTACAGGAGGATCCCCTTGTTGCACACGACGACCAGCCATGTCCCAAACATGCTCCAATGGGTTAAGACCGGGGCTCATTCAGTCGTGAGATACGTCAGTGGGTGCTTAACTACGTTCTTTGTGTATGTATTGTCGTCAGTACCGTGTTCCATAGACTTCGATAAACTGTATTCTGAAGACACAATCTCTTCGCTCATATACTAAAAGGTGCACAAACCCGGACTCTCGCTAACCTTAGTGAGAGAGTATGGTTTTACGACGCTTCTTTTGTAGCAATATCACGGCTTGAGACACCAGAAATGGGTTTTACACGTGTGGGGAATCGAACCCGGGTCTTCGGCGTGACGAGCGAACGTTGTATCCACTAGGCTACCCCCACCACACAAGCTATCCCTAGTGGGGTTTTGTGCTGACGTAGTTGGCGTAAAGAGACGCCTGTTAGGTCATAACTTTGAGGCATTATCGGTAGACATTTCTGAACACTGATTACCCGTCCTGGAACACATCTTGTTTGAAGTCGTTTTTGTCTTGGAAAAGCAGATTTACATTGTGCCAGAAAGTGTAGACATTTCTTATGGTTTACCTTGTCTTGAAACTACAGCTACTACATGAAATGGATATTATAATAAATATTGTGTAATCGCTTACCAGGTTTGTTGTATTTATGGCAATTGTACGTAGTTTTATGCTACATTCACTTCTCCCAGGACCTCCGTGTTATATATTCAACCTTCATTTTCCGACGTTTAAATTAAATGGATGAGTATAGAGTGGATGCTGGGGGTGAAATTTGGATGTGTATAGGCTGTTTCATGTGAGAAATGGATGAGTACAGATAGCGAGCTGGAGGTAAGAACTGGATGAGTGCAGGCTACTGTAGGTGAGAATTGGTGTGCGTCTTGGCTGCTGGAAGTGGGAAACTGGATGAGTATAGGCTGGTAGAGGTGAGAACTGGATGAGTATGTGCTGGTAAAGGTGTGATTTGGATGTGTATAGGCTGATAGACGTTAGAGTGGGATGAGGATAGGCTGCTGGGGTGAGATTGGGATGAGTGTAGGCTGGTAGAGGTAAGAGGATGAGGATAGGCTGCTGGAGGTGAGACTTGGGTGAGTATAGGCTGCTGGAGGTGAGACTGGGATCAGTATAGGCTTCTGGAGGTGAGCCTGGGATGAGGATAGGCTGATAGAGGTGAGACTGGGATGAGTATAGGCTGATAGAGGTGAGACTGGGATGAGTATAGGCTTCTGGAGTTCAGACTGGGATGAGTATAGGCTTCTGGAGGTGAGACTGGGGTGAGAATAGGCTGCTGGAGGTGAGACTGGGATGAGTATAAGCTGATAGAGGTGAGTCTGGGATGAGTATAGGCTGATAGAGGTGAGACTTGGATGAGTATAGGCTGATAGAGGTGAGACTGGGATGAGTATAGGCTGATAGAGGTGAGACTGGGATGAGGATAGACCGATAGAAGTTAGAGTGGTATGAGGATAGGCTGCTGGAGGTGACACTGGGTGAGAATAGGCTGCTGGAGGTGAGACTGGGATGAGTATAGGCTGCTGGAGGTGAGACTGGGATGAGTATAGGCTGAGAGAGGTGAGACTTGGATGAGTATACGCTGATAGAGGTGAGACTGGGATGAGTATAGGCTTCTGGAAGTGAGACTGGGTAGGTATAGGCTAATAGAGGTGAGACTGGGATGAGTATAGGCTGATAGAGGTGAGACTGGGATGAGTATAGGTTGATAGAGGTGAGACTGGGATGAATATTCACCTGATGAAGGAGCGAGAATTAGCTGTGAAACGTCGTGTAAAGAATAAAAAGTTGTTATCCATAGAAGTGTCATGTATTCACGGGATGAATATAGGCTGGTAGAGGTTAGAGTGGCAAGAATGTAGGCTTGTAGAGGTTAGAGTGGGATGAGTGTAGGCTGGTAGAGGTGAGAATGGGATGGATATAAACTGGTAAACGGTTAAAGTGGGATGAGTATAGGCTGGTAGAGGTGAGATCGGGATCAGTATAGGCTGCTGGAGGTGAGATTTGGATCGGTATAGGCTGTTGGGGGTAAGATTTGGATGAGTATAGGCTCTTGGGGTGAGATTGGGATGAGTATAGGCTGCTGGGGGTGAGATTGGGATGAGTGTAGGCTGGTAGAGGTTAGAGTGGGATGAGGATAGGTTGCTGGAGGTGAGACTGGGGTGAGTATAGGCTACTGGAGGTGAGGCTGGAATGAGTGTAGGCTGCTGAAGGTGAGACTGGGATGAGCATAGGCTGTTGGAGGTGAGACTGGGATGAACATAGGCTGAGAGAGAGGTGAGACTGGGATGAGTGTAGGCTGATAGAGGTGAGACTGGGATGAGGATAGGCTGATAGAGGTGAGACTGGGATGAGTATAGGCTGATAGAGGTGAGACTTGGATGAGTATAGGCTGATAGAGGTGAGACTGGGATGAGTGTAGGCTGATAGAGGTGAGACTGTGATGAAAATGCACCTGATGAAGGAGCAAGAATTAGCTGTGAAACGTCGTGTAAAGAATAAAAAGAAGTTGTTATCGATAAAAGTGTCATATATTCAAGGGATGAATATAGGCTGGTAGAGGTTAGAGTGGGATGAGTGTAGGCTTGTAGAAGTGAGAATGGGATGAATATAAACTGGTAGAGGTTAAAGTGGGATGAGGATAGGCTGCTGGAGGTGACACTGGGATGAGCATAGGCTGCTGGAGGTGAGACTTGGATTTGTATATGCTGCTGGAGGTGAGACTGGGATGAGGATAGGCTGCTGGAGGTGAGACTGGGGTCAGTATAGGCTGATAGAGGTGAGACTGGGATGAGTATAGGCTGCTGAAGGTGAGACTGGGATGAGCATAGGCTGTTGGAGGTGAGACTGGGATGAACATAGGCTGAGAGAGGTGAGACTGGGATGAGTGTAGGCTGATAGAGGTGAGACAGGGATGAGGATAGGCTGATAGAGGTGAGACTGGGATGAGTATAGGCTGATAGAGTTGAGACTGGGATGAGTGTAGGCTGGTAGAGGTGAGAATGGGATGGATATAAACTGGTAAAGGTTAAAGTGGGATGAGTATAGGCTGGTAGAGGTGAGATCGGGATCAGTATAGGCTGCTGGAGGTGAGATTTGGATCGGTATAGGCTGTTGGGGGTAAGATTTGGATGAGTATAGGCTCTTGGGGTGAGATTGGGATGAGTATAGGCTGCTGGGGGTGAGATTGGGATGAGTGTAGGCTGGTAGAGGTTAGAGTGGGATGAGGATAGGTTGCTGGAGGTGAGACTGGGGTGAGTATAAGCTACTGGAGGTGAGGCTGGAATGAGTGTAGGCTGCTGGAGGTGAGACTGGGGTGAGTATAGGCTGATGGAGGTGAGACTGGGATGAGTATAGGCTGCTGGAGGTGAGACTGGGATGAGGATGGGCTGATATCGGTAAGACTGGGATGAGGATAGGCTGATATCGGTGTGACTGGGATGAGTATAGGCTTCTGGAGTTGAGACTGGGATGAGGATAGACTGATAGAGGTGAGACTGGGATGAGGATAGGCTGATAGAGGTGAGACTTGGATGAGTATAGGCTGATAGAGGTGAGACTGGGATGAGTGTAGGCTGATAGAGGTGAGACTGTGATGAAAATGCACCTGATGAAGGAGCAAGAATTAGCTGTGAAACGTCGTGTAAAGAATAAAAAGAAGTTGTTATCGATAAAAGTGTCATATATTCAAGGGATGAATATAGGCTGGTAGAGGTTAGAGTGGGATGAGTGTAGGCTTGTAGAGGTGAGAATGGGATGAATATAAACTGGTAGAGGTTAAAGTGGGATGAGGATAGGCTGCTGGAGGTGACACTGGGATGAGCATAGGCTGCTGGAGGTGAGACTTGGATTTGTATATGCTGCTGGAGGTGAGACTGGGATGAGGATAGGCTGCTGGAGGTGAGACTGGGGTCAGTATAGGCTGATAGAGGTGAGACTGGGATGAGTATAGGCTGCTGAAGGTGAGACTGGGATGAGCATAGGCTGTTGGAGGTGAGACTGGGATGAACATAGGCTGAGAGAGGTGAGACTGGGATGAGTGTAGGCTGATAGAGGTGAGACTGGGATGAGGATAGGCTGATAGAGGTGAGACTGGGATGAGTATAGGCTGATAGAGTTGAGACTGGGATGAGTATAGGCTGATAGAGGTGAGACTGTGGATGAGTATAGGTTGATAGAGGTCAGACTGGATGAATATGCACCTGATGAAGGAGCAAGAATTAGCTGTGAAACGTCGTGTAAAGAATAAAAAGTTGTCATCGATAAAAGTGTCATGTATTCAAGGGATGAATATAGGCTGGTAGAGGTTAGAGTGGGATGAGTGTAGGCTTGTAGAGGTGAGAATGGGATGAGTATAGACTGCTGGAGGTTAGACTGGGATGAATAAAGGCTGGTAGAGGTTAGAGTGGGATGAGTGTAGGCTGGTAGATGTTAGAGTGGGATGAGTGTAGGCTGGTTGAGGTGAGAATGGGATGAGTATAGACTGCTGGAGGTTAGACTGGGATGAATATAGGCTGCTGAGTAGAGGTGAGACTGGGTTGAATATAGACTGGTAGAGGTGAGACTGGGATGAGTGTAGGCTGGTAGAGGTTAGATTGGGATGAGTATAGGCTGCTGGGGATGAGATTTGGATGATTATAGGCTGCTGGGGGTGAGGTTGGGATGAGTGTAGGCTGGTAGAGGTTATAATAAGATGGGTAAAAGCTCGTAGGGGTGAGAATGGTGTTTGTTCGTCCATCTGTTCTGTCACACCAGGGACATCTTCACCATCAGCTGAACTGCCAGGGACTTCATCGCTGTCGGCTGATAGAGTCTCAGAAGACAGAGCGTTCAGGAGATCATCTTCAGACTGCAAGTTTGAGAGGACTCCTTGTGCAAGACAGTAAGATGTCAGACTAACCTTATCGTCAGATCCTAGAAGGGCAGCAAATGATGTTCTGTTGATGTCGCTATGATGACTGGAATTCTTCTGTAATTGCTCAAATTTCAGTCCCGTGGTCCAATTGACGGTGTTGTTGTCAGCTAGCCAGACAATGAGCCCGTCTTTCACAAATTTCCACAATTAAAGGAGATATTAGTTTCTAGATACGTGTCGATTTCGTATTGGTTGAAGACGCCCTGAACGAGGTCAAACGTCAATATTGTGAGTTTGTTGGAACCGTTTACCCAGTCTACTAATCACAGTAACACTGAACACAGTGGACTGCATGATAACTTTGCCACTTTCAACATGGCGATAGCTCCAGGGCAAGTTTATACAGAAACAATTAATGAAATCATCCAAATCATGGCTGTATGATGAGAAGTATCAGTCAGAAATGATGGTCCAGAGATATTACTTTACCGTCCTTGACTGCCATATAGCTGGAATATTGCTGAGTGCGGTGTAAAACTAAAACTAAACAAATTACAGACCTTGAAGGAGGTAAAATCGCACACGACACCGCTTGTGTTGAGCGCTGCTGCGTGCGGCATCTACAACTGGTGTTTTACAGACATGTTTGATGTCAACACTTACCAATTTTTAAAACCTTGGTACTAACGTTTATATTTCATGAGCCCCAATTTTTAAGGGTAACATGAATATATATTCAGACCAGCCCGCCTCCATAAAATAGGTCATCGCCCTGCTGTGTGGGCAACTGGGGGGTTGAGGGGGTAGCCGTTTAACATCTCAGTGTCGATCGTCAGCAATGTCCTTACTTTCTTTTAAAAAGAAGCTAAAGATGGTTTCATGTTTCCCGTTCGAGGTTCTAGGCAGCAAGCAGCAACATTAATGACATTCTCTGCTCCCCTATTTAATGAAGTTAATTCGACCTGCCGTTTGTGTCATTTGACCTCCCGGGTCATGCATATGTAAAGTAGCTCAGTTCAAGCTGAACAAGCTGTAGTGGATAAAACGTTCGATTCCCCACATGGAAACAAAGTGTGAAGCCCATGCATGGTGTCTCCTGTCGTGATTTTGCTCCAATAAAAGCTGCGTAAAACCATACTCTCTCTACACGAAGCTAATGACTGGCAGCGGGCACATTCAATGATTATGAACTGCAAAATAGCAACGGATATTTGTTGGTATCACACTAAATTACGAAGAGATTTTATTGTTTATTCATTTAATTTGGAAATAGACGCGCAACAATTATGAATAGTGCAAATACCGAGAATCGAGTATTTAACATGTAGTTTGATTGCACAGGAAAACATTATGCTACAATATTGAGTCATTTAACAATTCAAGCAGAAATGCTTTCAAATAATGATGAACTTTTCTTTCAACATTGTACAGAATGAGCATGTGTGAGACAATCCGTTTTCAATCAGCAAGCTTTATACTGAAAGAACACAAAGTTTTAAAATGTCCTCATGGGTGAGTGTTCTTTAGAAACAATTATCATGTACATACATTCTATGTTTCAGTTGTTCATTTTTTGTATCAAAACATGACATGTTCAAAGCAAGGGTGATACGTTTAGGAATCTGGATGGGAAAATATTCAAATACCCTTCTCAGCTTGAAAGTTAAGGGACTCTGGTAAACTGATACATCTGAAAGAACACGTGCTTTAGATAATCCAGAGTGCAGATGGGTTCGTATTTGTCGGAACCATCCAGACTTTTGATGATGGTGTCATCATCAGGGTTGACAAAAAAACCAAACGACTGTCGGTACTGGCGTTTCTTCACTTCCGATTCAGGAACCAGGATTCGGTGTTTCTGAAAATAGGAAACATTCATGACATACTTGACACACCTATGAAACTAAATTGATTTTGCGCACACGTTCGCCTTTTGTTTGGATTCTCTATGAAAAGCAGCAATATTGGTTGAGTCGTGACCAAGAACCCATACAAATAATGTTGACACAAATAGGCACAGGCACGTTTCACTCTGAAAAGCAACAATATTGGTTGAGTCGTGACCAAGAACCCATTCAAATAATGTTGACACAAATAGGCACAGGCACGTTTCACTCTGAAAAGCAGCAATATTGGTTGAGTCGTGACCAAGAACCCATTCAAATAATGTTGACACAAATAGGCACAGGCACGTGTCACTCTGAAAAGCAGCAATATTGGTTGAGTCCTGACCAATGACCCATTAAAATAATGTTGAAACAAATAGGCAAAGGCACTTTTCACTCTGAAAAGCAGCAATATTGGTTGAATCGTGACCAAGAACCCATTCAAATAATGTTGACACAAATAGGCAAAGGCACTTTTCACTCTGAAAAGCAGCAATATTGGTTGAGTCCTGACCAAGAACCCATTCAAATAATGTTGACACAAATAGGCACAGGCACGTTTCACTCTGAAAAGCAACAATATTGGTTGAGTCCTGACCAAGAACCCATTCAAGTAATGTTGACACAAATAGGCACAGGCACGTTTCACTCTGAAAAGCAGCAATATTGGTTGAGTCGTGACCAAGAACCCATTCAAATAATGTTGACACAAATAGGCACAGGCACTTTTCACTCTGAAAAGCAACAATATTGGTTGAGTCGTGACCAAGAATTCATTCAAATAATGTTGACACAAATAGGCACAGGCACGTTTCACTCCGAAAAGCAACAATATTGGTTGAGTCGTGACCAAGAACCTATTCAAATACTGTTGACACAAATAGGCACAGGCTCTTCTCACTCTGAAAAGCAACAATATTGGTTGAGCCGTTACCAAGACCCCATTCAAATTATGTTGACACAAATAGGCACTGGCACGTTTCACTCAGTAAAGCAGCAATATTGGTTAAGTCGTGACCAAGAACCCATTCAAATAATGTTGACACAAATAGGCACAGGCACGTTTCACTCTGAAAAGCAACAATATTGGTTGAGTCGTGACCAAGAACCCATTCAAATAATGTTGACACAAATAGGCACAGGCACGTTTCACTCTGAAAAGCAGCAATATTGGTTGAGTCGTGACCAAGAACCCATTCAAGTAATAGTAATTTTGACACAAATAGGCACAGGCACTTTTCACTCTGAAAAGCAGCAATATTGGTTGAGTCGTGACCAAGAACCCATTCAAATAATGTTGACACAAATAGGCCCTGGCACGTTTCACTCAGTAAAGCAGCAATATTGGTTGAGTCAAGACCAAGAACCCATTCAAATACTGTTGACACAGATAACCACACGGAGTATTTCTATATTATCAGTGCAGATCAGTGGGTGGTACTATACCAGTAGTGTCATGCAAGTGAGTGAGTGAGTGCGGTTTTACGCCCTTTTTAGCAGCATTCCATCAATATCACGATGGGGGACACCAGAAATGGGATTCACACTTAGTACTCATGTGGGGAATCGAACCCGGGTCTTCGAAGGGACGAGTAAACGTTTAACCACTAGGCTATCCCACCTCCCCCTTTGTTTGCTTCAACAACACTGCAGCTGTATCACTATGAGCATATTATTCACCATGGCGTGACTAGGCTACCGAACCGTTCCAGTGCCATGCTGTTTAACGTTTATATGCGTTACTATTTACGCCCAGTCACTTATTAATTCCTATCTTGTGGTTTTGGTATGATGTCAAAAACCTATAAAAACTTCATTTCGTTTATGTCCCAACTGATGTCAAGAGTTCTTCATGAAATAAATTTAAAAAATGACTATTGTCCAAGGTTTTATCCGATTCAGACTTAGGATCGATCGACAGATGCAATGGTTAATCCAATTTACCTTTACCAAATAAGATGACATACGTAAATTCACATGCACACACCTGGATGCGCTGAGATTGAAGTTTGTTATTCAAGGTCACGCAATTATTCCATGGCTATGTGAAGAGCGTCATAAATATGATTTGATGTTGTTGGATATCTATCTAGTTGGATTTAGTTTTGGGTATTTCATCAAGGTTAAGCATTCAATAAATTTGGACTACATTTCAATATTTGAGGCATCAGTGACAGAAACTTGCAATTCCCACTTGTAATAATATCAAAACAAGAAAAAGTGTCAAGGGTCCGACTCTAAACTACAGGTTGTATCTGGTCAACTTTATCAATGAATGTCTTATTTGATAAGCTTGATCCTAAAACGAGCTTCAGAATGGACGTAGGTTTTGTTCAGATAATGATTCTGAGTAGAGTGTTCAAAAGGTTAAAATCCGAATAATATCAGAATGAAGTCAACAATGTCCGTTGAAATTAAATACAACTGTTGACACGGGGACATACTGAAAGCAACATACATAATTGGCTAAATTGAAATTTACTACACTCGTCAAGGATAAAATGAGCTATGTATGTCCGAGTAAATGCCAACCACAAGACTAGGCAACACTGCTCCCTGTCATGACGAAAGATTGTGCGTATAGGATCCATACTGCGTCACAGACCTTGAGGTATGTGACATCAGCAATTGAATTATATGTTTGTTTTTGAATGAAGCGCTCAAAAACGTTTCAGCTCTATGGCGGTGACAATCGGAATGTACAATCTCAACAAAAAAAACAATCATACAGTTAAATTTCACGAGCGTATTTCGAGTAGAAATTAAGGTTACTCGCTCCGGCGCCCTGATCCTCAAAGGGTTCGTAACGTTACGACTTATCGTAGCTCCATACTTTATCATAGGCTTACGAATGGCATATTGTTACGAACGTTTTGTGGATCAATCACCTGGCCTTGTACAATGTTAAGTCACTGCTCACTGTGGCTTTAAGCTGATCTGCAGTCCATCGCTGCATCAGGTCACCAATGATGACCACTATGGCGCCGGGGATGGGCTTTGCCGGCACATACACATCATCAGTTTTCATCATCTGAAACATGTCATACCACATACATGTCATCAGTGTTCATCACCAGAAACATGCAATACCACATACATGTCATCAGTGTTCATCACCTGAAAAATGTCATACCACATACATGTCATCAGTGTTCATCACCAGAAACATGTAATACCACATACATGTCATCAGTGTTCATCACCTGAAACATGCAATACCACATACATGTCATCAGTGTTCATCACCTGAAAAATGTCATACCACATACATGTCATCAGTGTTCATCACCAGAAACATGCAATACCACATACATGTCATCAGTGTTCATCACCTGAAACATGTCATACCACATACATGTCATCAGTGTTCATCACCAGAAACATGCAATACCACATACATGTCATCAGTGTTCATCCCTGAAAAATGTCATACCACATACATGTCATCAGTGTTCATCACCAGAAAGATGCAATAGCACATACATGTCATCAGTGTTCATCACCTGAAACATGCAATACCACATACGTGTCATCAGTGTTCATCACCTGAAACATGTAATGCCACATACACATCATCAGTGTTCATCACCTGAAACATGTCATACCACATACATGTCATCAGTATTCATCACCTGAAACATGCCATACCACATACATGTCATCAGTGTTCATCACCTGAAACATGTCATACCACATACATTTCATCAGTGTTCATCACCTGAAACATGACATACCACATACATGTCATCAGTATTCATCACCTGAAACATGTCATACCACATACGTGTCATCAGTGTTCATCACCTGAAACATGTCATACCACATACATGTCATCAGTGTTCATCACCTGAAACATGTCATACCACGTACATATCATCAGTGTTCATCACCTGAAACATGTCATACTGCATACGTGTCATCAGTGTTCATCACCTGAAACATGACATACCACATACGTGTCATCAGTGTTCATCACCTGAAAGATGTCATACCACATGCATGTCATCAGTGTTCATCGCCTGAACCATATTATACACACATAAACCGAAACTGAAACATCTCCTCTTAGTAAATACTTATGGAAACGTTTTGTCAATTGTATTCAATGTTCATCGCCAAAAACACTTATTCAACACTTAAAACATGTAATGCACACTGAGACGCACAGACATAAGCACCTCTAATATCCTTTGATTTCCTCGAGTTCAGGACTATACGAGGGGCTATCAAAAGGTTTTGAACCTAAAATACTTCTGATACGTGCATGATAAAAATAACGGTATGGCATTGAAGGGTCATTCACATAAACGTAATACAGATATGAACATGTCGCTGGTTTCTGGTCACATGACATCTAATCACATGTACAACCTTACCTCTAAGCCTCCAATGCCGTCTTGGAACAGCAGTGTCATTGTCCCAAAGTCGGAGTGCTGTCCAAAGCGAACTTGACCTGGCTTCACGGCTGTAGATACAGAATTGGAAAGTCTTTGTAGTTTATTAGATTGCATATGTGCTCATTATGAGAATTGTTGATTAGATGGTTTTTCATTATTCACATCACAACCCAACCTCATACCCCACATCTTACACATCTTCCACAGTGGACCTGACCTGGCTTCACGACTGTTGATGGAGAATCGGAAAGTCTTTGTAGTTTATTAGAATAATAATATGCTCATTTCAGAGAACTGTCCATTTGAAATTACAATTACATTATTGTCAAAATCCATATCCTAACAAAACAATAGATGTATTGTTTTAAATGTTATCTGGAAACAATAAAGTTTCGTATCATTCTAAAATATCACAAGAACATTTCTAAATAAATTAAAGTTACGCGTTCCTAACTGGTTTCACCAACCAATTGTACCTGGCTTCAGCGATGTAACTCACTCACTCACTCATCCACTCACTCACTCACTCACCCATCCAAGACCCACCCACTCACTCACTCACTCACTCACTCACTCATCCACCCACCCACCCACCCACCCACTCACTCATTCACTCACTCAAAATATTCATGAATATGAAATGATCATGAAAACTCACGTCCAGTTAGAGGAGGGTAGTAGTTGCTTCTGATACTGGTGCTGTTCCCCTTCCTGCCCATCTGACGGTGGCAATCGCGGAGGAAGTTGCGATCCTTAAACACGAGAACTCGACCTCAGACACAGTCACGGGAATCTAAATAAATATTTTCCCGAAGCATACATATTCACATGCACCAGGTGACTTCACGTTCACCTTGCCAAAATTCACTTTATGTTGATCGTATTATACGTCTTTACAGTATATTCTAAGCTCTATTCTAACTGTTGTTGGTTGTTGGTTGTTTAACGCCGCCCTCGGCGATTTGTAAATAATCGACTCTGGATCAGACAATGCAGTGACCAACAACATGAGCATTTGGGATACGATGCCATGTGTCAACCAACTTAGAGAACCTGACCACCTGATCCCGTTTGACGCCTCTTACGACAAGCATTGTTTGCTGAAGGCCAATTCTATCCCGGATCTCCAGGGGTACATCTTTATGGGACGCTCAGACAGACGTTATACGTTTCTTGCTCAAGCGTTGTTTGATCGTGGCTCCAAACCTCAAGGTCACACGCTAGTCTGTCTGACCGTCCCTGAACCACATTATTTTCTCTTTCTCCCAACCCTTTGTGCAATGCAAAAAACAAGCTCCTTCCAATTCAAATCGAGCTATTTGTTTCTATTTATATATTTATAAATTCTCAGAGACTAGACTATTCAGAGTCAGTCTAGCCTTAATGAAGCATGTCTAGATTTCCTCAGGTTCAGGAATATAGGAAGGGTTATCAAATGGTTTTGAGCCTAAAATACTTCTGATACGTGCATGATAAAAATAACTGTATGGTATTGAAGAATATTGACGTAATACTGACATGCACATGTCGCTCGTTTCCGGTCACGTGACATCTAATCACATGTACCCCTAATGAAACGGCAGAAATGGATAAGCTTGAGTAGAGAGCAGTCATAAAGTGTTTGGTCCTCGAGGGCCACCCGGCGAAACACACTGAACAGCGATTGACAGCAGTACGAGTAGCCTTAACTTCTTGACCTCATGAATCTATATACTATGGATATCCTACCTGGAGTTTAAGACCGATAGACAGGACATGAATCTATATACTATGGATACCATACCTGGAGTTTAAGACCGATAGACAGGACATGAATCTATATACTATGGATATCATACCTGGAGTTTAAGACCGATAGACAGGACATGAATCTATATACTATGGATACCATACCTGGAGTTTAAGACCGATAGACAGGACATGAATCTATATATGGATACGATACCTGGAGTTTAAGACCGATAGACAGGACATGAATCTATATACTATGGATACCATACCTGGAGTTTAAGACCGATAGACAGGACATGAATCTATATACTATGGATACCATACCTGGGGTTTAAGACCGATAGACAGGATATGAATATATATACTATGGATATCATACCTGGAGTTTAAGAGCTATAGACAGGACATCGAGGACTCTCTCTGTTAGTCGTATGCAGTCGTCGAAGAATGCGAAGAAAGATGATTTAAATTCGGGAAGATCCGCCGGCCACGCCTGTGTGAGACCAAACATATATTGTTGCACTGGCGGTGCTGTGTGGCCTTGTCCCCAGGTCACTAATAGGTAGAGGTTAAGCATTGTTGGTCGCAGAGAGTCCTTGGATGGGTGACCTCTTTGGGGGGCTATTTACATGAGCAGATTTTGCTTTTTAACCAATCAAGATTTCTTTGGAAAGAAAAATACGTTTAAACTACAGAGAGTCTTTGGATGGGTGACTTCTTTGGAGGGCTATTTACATGAGCAGATTTTTTTTACCAATCAAAATTTCTTTGGAAATAAAAATACGTTTAAGCTACAGAGAGTCCTTGGATGGATGACCGTGTTTGGCAGCTTGACTCCTAAGAGTTTCCAGGACTTCAGTCCTGTCCCAGAACGAAACACACGTGACACATTTTGTCAAGCCTTCGGCAAGTGGATTTGTCCAAAATTGCCACTGATCAACCATCAGTAAATGGGTACCCGATGGATTAAGCCACATGACTGCACAATGTGCATGCACAGGTGCGTGGATACCCGTGCTTTGTAAGTGTTAGTTTAGGAAACTAGACAATAAAGATATTTTTCTTGCATTTCAGTGAAAAGGAGTTTGTTTTTAATACTCTACGATCACACCGACGCTCACCCAAGGACTCTAATATAAAGGATTGTTGTTTGTTGTTTCATAAATTGGTAATGAAATATGGCATGTTGTTCCCATAAAAGACAACACAAGCTTTCATTGACTGACACCTAACGTATGACAGTTTGACAGATTCCCAAGAAACAGACGGAAGAGTGGCAACTATAGCCCAGAACAAGTAAATAAATGACGAAAACTAGTGACTGAAAGCATGAGCAAATATCCAAACCACCGGAATACGGCTATACGCGATCCGCCGAACCAGGATCCGCCGATCGTATATAGCCACCTTAAAATACATACTGACGATAAACAATTAAAGTACCCCATCATCCTTTGGTGTAAAGTTGAACGCTTCCTTGAAATCCGCAACGGGGTCGTTGATATTCCCCCTTAGGTAAATAAAACAAGATTAAAATACTCGTTTAAAAAGTAATTTATAAAATATTTCATTGTGTGGTAGTAAAGCCTGAAGCGTAAGAGTTTAAACCCTGTGTGAAGCCCACTGGCACTGCCATTGCACAGTGTACGAAATGTACGCTGGTACTGTGGTCACTGACAAGTAAAAATTCATCAGGACCACTAAATGATAAGTTTGCAGTGGTCGTGGTGGCCAGTGAATTCTGTATTGATAGCTAAGTAAATCCACGAATTTTTTTGGGACCAGTGAAGTACAGACAGGACCATTAATTGTTGTCCATTCACTGGTCCTGCGTCTAGTGGGACATTTTGAAAGGTTTCTTTCCCATATGATACAGGTCATGTTGGAGCGGACGCTCAGTTAGCGGATCCTGATACAGCACACCCACCCTATTACATGCATGCTTGTTATTTGTTTTAATGTGTGCAGGACCGTGTTATATTGTCAAAACATTGAAACAAACTTCAACACATTGGACATGACTAATTGGAGGGTGAACATTTCCAAAAATAAAAGTGCATGAACATTAATGAGTAATGCTCACTATCAAATTATTTCGAGTCAAATAGGCAATAGTAACTATACGTTAGTACTTGAGTACTCAACCCATGATCACAATAACTGCTGTTTGTAAAGAACATAATGACGTTGGAAATAATGTTTCCATATGTTAAGTTACGTGCGTGTCTCGTGTCATATGCCGATTATGGCAGTGATTATGAACATAAGAATTTACCCACTATTGTAATACATGATAATTCTAACTCTATTGGGGGTGGTGGGGTAGCCTAGTGGTTAAAGCTTTGGTTCGTCACGCCGAAGACCCGGGTTCGAATCCCTACATGGGTACAATGTGTGAAGCCCATTTCTGGTGTCCCCCGCCGTGATGTTGCTGGAATATTGCTAAAAGCAGCGTAAAACCAAACTCAGTCAGTCAGTCAGTCTAACTCTATTAATCCACAGATCATCTCAAAATAGTTTATTACATTGTGGTCTAAGGCGACTTCATTTCTACTTTGACCAAGACACTTCAGAATAAACATGCATGCATATGCATACGGATGGTCATTCTTAATGAACTCACTTTTCGCTCTCTAAGGCAATGTAGCCATGAAAACTATCTTGATGGGTTCGAACACACTTCATCTTTTCTTCCACTGGTTGATCGAAGAAGGATTTGGACACCGCGAACATAGCATCGACCTGGAATAACAACAACACATTAATTGACCTTGAATAACAAGTGTATTGTAATCAAACTTGAATATCAATTAAATTTTATTATAGCATGAACGATCACCCGATCTACGCAACTGGGAAACGATGACATGTGTCAACCAAGTCAGTGAGCCTGACCACCCGTTCCCGTTAGTCGCCTCTAACGACAAGCATGGGTTACCGAAGATCAATTCTAACCGAATCTTGCACAAGTCTCTAAGGAAAAAGGTAATAGTTTAAATGATAATTTCTAAAAAATTATAAATAACAGACTGGGGTCCTTAGATGTACTGTCCGCTCATCTAGACTTGCCTCTTTAAAGGAAAGACTTACCATACATGCAAAGCTTAGCACTCCTCAACAGCCTTGGAGCAAGACAACATATTTAGGGATGCTGAGCCAACTTTAATCTCCTCAAAAGGAAATACACAGGCGTATTTTCACTAATTTAATCTGCTAAATTTAACTTCACCAATTCAATGTAATTCATGATCAGTTGTAGTCAAAATTTGCACAGCATAAAAGATAAAATGTCTGTCAACACGCATAGCCTATAAACAGATCAATAAGAGAAGGCGTCTGTTCCCATTTGGGCGCTGTCTTCAATCTCACCATGAACCCTATTGAAGTGGATATTGGTACTTACTGCGTGTAATTACGGGAGTGACCCAACATGAAATAAAATGAAACATATATAGCTTATAAGCTACGTCACCAGATTATTACAATCCTTAAGACCAATCTACAACCATCCAACCTGATAAATGCCGAAAATCAACCTATCATAGACCTCAGCAATGACAAGGATATCACCATTGTCAAGGCAAGGCCTCATTTCATCCTGAAATCACCAGAATTCCACTATATGGTCAAAATGATCCTCCAAGACCCCACAACCTACCGCAAGATCAAGATAGGCCCTACTACAAAACTGCAAAACCGCCAGAAGTTGTCATATATAAAGTATAACTTTTCCTTCTGCTCATCGACTTCCAAAATGACAGTCAAACAGATCGTTCTACACATAACCAAGATTTCAAAAGCGCCATACAGCTTTAACTTAGATAACTTCTTTGAGAGGCATTTAGAATTTTGGGGCAGTAATGAAGGATAACCATATATGGATGAACGTCTTAACGTCGCTCTCACAGCAATAAAGAAGTTGTTCATCCATATATGGTTATCCATCCTTTAACTCAGATGTTTGTTCGACCGATGCAGTTTTCTTTTTTTCAATTGTACCATACGTTCCCAAGTGATTTTGTTTTTCTCATTTCAAACAATTGACTTGTTTCTGCGTGTGTTCATGACTGGTGCCACCTGTGAGGCGCGATACGCCCAACTTTCCGAGAAAACCAAGCCCAGCGGGCACACAACGTTGAATCAACGTTGAATTTTGGTTGTTTGGTTGATCAACCTTTCATAAACGTTGATTCAACGTTTATCATGCGACCAAAGAAAGTTAGTCGAGATTTGTTTAGTTGTCAACGTTGTTTCAACGTAAGGAACCAACAAAATGTCAACTAATTGTTTCCTTGGCAAATCTGATACATAATTCATATTGGTAATAGGTATCCAACTTAGCAACTATCATTTCGGAACATTAATTTCATAAAAGATCAAGATCGAGCTAGTGACACATATAATCTTATAAATTGTTTGATTGTGCATCGATCAACGGACGGAAATATTACGTAAATCGCAATTGAATATGAAAACATCAATGATTTTAGGTATGAAGTCATCAGTTATCCAAATTGCATTACATTTGATATTTTCCCACAAAACTGTCAAAATTGTATAATTCCCGACAATTTGCTTTCAAACACATGCCAGATCGCCTCGTTTGGCCATATGCGGACATGCGCACAATTATCGCGCGCGCAAAGGCAGCTGATCGTTGTCAGTTTACTTTGGCGAAGTTCAACGCAATATCGTTCTATTTTCAACATCTTCACGGCATGCTGGTGTTTATTTGGTAAGTATGTCCTTCATGTATAATGAAAACGTAGGAATGTTGTTTAAATCTAGCAGGTCAATGTAGCAAGGGCTCATGTTTTATCTCACAAGGGTACCGGTATGTCACGTACATGTTTCTCAAAATTTAGTGGAAGCCCGTGTTTTCCATGAACTTGTTTTGTTATTTTTCAATATATTTGCATGCATATATGTGGCATTTTATTATATAATCGAATAAGATTTCCTTTCGTACCCATCACCTGATTTGAATTTTGCAAATATACATTTTCAAATAATCAATGAAGCACATCAATATAAGGGACCATTCATAATTAAATGGCTGCGGGTGGTGGTGATGATTGTAAGGGTGGGGGTGGGTGGGGTGTCACCCATTTTGTTCAGGGAGCTAAGGGTGTCGGCATTTTTGTACACACGCACTATGTTTAATATGATGCTTAGAAATTATGGGAAGGGAGAGGGCGTCATAGATATTGTACATGACATGCAGGGTGGGGCGTCACTTTTTCGTACATACACTTTACGGGGGGGGGGAGGGTAATTCACATTGTACATGCTTCTTCATAAAAATCATCACCACCCCTAAGCCATACATTATGAACGGTCCCTAAGGGCAGCTATACAAAATCGAATAGAATTTATCAACATTTTATATTGCATCACATTATTATGAACATTTGTTCGTTTGAATAAGTCTATCAGTAAATTATGCATTGAGCACGCTCTGAACCCTGTCAACATATGCATATTATTTGGGGGTGGGGTTGGAGAATGGCGAAAGTAAATCTTCTTAGATCATGCAACGAAAATTCACATCAAAATGTCTTGTGCAAGTCTTTGTTAAGGATGAAATTGCATATAATTTATTTGAACTTTTATTTATTTACAAAATGTGTAACTTCACTAATGATTCTTTGATGGGACAATTAACAAAACTGCACTCACAGACTTTCATTCTTACACTTGTTTGGAAGGATGTGATGATTCATGTCTCTTAAAGGTTAAAATGTTACATACAAAAGAAGTAATTTAGTAAGGAACATTTAATTATGAAATAAGATATAATTTCAATGGAATTTGCAGAAATCTCATCGAAGACTGGGTGGCATCAATTTTGTGGATCACATAAAAGGAGCAATGCTAAGGTAACATGTTTTTAACATTTCACTTGTTTCCAGTATATCCACCACCAAGGTTGATCATGTATCAGAATAATTTGACAATGATTTCTCCCGGAGATGTTTAGTTTAATGAGCACTCCCTTGCTTGGCGCCATATTGTTTTTCGCCGTAAAGAGCTGGATGCGAGAAAGCACGCGAGAGGACAGAAGTCATAAATTTATAGAGATATATAGATGTTTATTGCTGGGAGACACACTCTTCAGGTATTTGGTCAGCTGTAGAATTTGAATATGATGTTTCTTTATTATTGTCAAAGTGTAGGTTTTTCATTATTTTGCATTTAAATGTGTGTGCAGTGAAACCACACTCCGGCACAGCGATGGGTAGGAGAGTGCAGTGAAACATACTGAGATTTAGAAGAGTCCATTATTTAGAGTACAGGTATTGTTAGATATCAGCATTTTATGTAGATCTACATATTCCCTTGTCAAGATCATCTATCGACTATATTAGAGAGAAGGTGTATATTTGTAGTGTTTTAAATCAGAGTTATTTTCAGTGTATGACCTACATTTCAATATGTTTTGGCCACCTGTCACCCCTTTGGTCAAATAGAGTAGGACTTCCATTTCTTGGAATTGAGAGTCTGAGATACACTGTTTCCAAGAATTTGCGCGTGCCAGCGATGTTTGTTTACGAGTACATTTAAGTCTTTTTGAGTGTAGATTGGAATTGTAAGAGATGTTGTTCAGTGTCTTTTTATTCAGGGTATGATAGATTATTTCTGGCAGTGTAGAGTTTAATCTCATTATTTTATTGTTCATGATTCAGAGAAGCATAGTTATGACGTCGCAGATATTATAGGCACACATAATTCATTATATAAGAGATTTTCTAAGCGTTCCTATAAGAGGTTAAGTGTAAACATTTCTGAATTATGAAGAAGTTATTTATCTGAGTTTTATGAGTGTACAAATGACAACGAGAGACAGAGTAGATAATAGGGCCTAAAAAAAAAAGCTTGTGGTTCCGATTTCCCGACCGACCCTAAATATTCCCGCCGAGCCTAACAATTTTACTCACCACATGATAAATTAAATTTATTTTCTGACACATGAGCAGGGTTTCAGATTGTCATCGGCCTCGGTCATAGTCCGATAACATTTTCAAATGACCGACTACTTTCTTACTAATTAGGACACTCGGGCCGATCGATAATTTCGATGTTATTTTCACATATTGGACCTAGTAAATTACGAACATTATCATTTACGAATTCATCAAAAACTAACCACGAAATTTTGATCATGTTTCTGCGGCGTCTATGTATTTACGCATCCATTTTTATCACACTAAGCTACCAAATGTACATGTAATGGATTGCGCGATTGGCTGCTATTTTAAGCACTGGACAATCAGAAACGGGCTTTCCCGACCCCACCCGCATGTAACAATGTTTCAAGGAAATCATTAGCCGAGAGCCGCGATGCGGTCCTATACAGTCAAGACATGACCCTGCAGGGTCATGTCTTGACTGTATAGGACCGCATCGCGGCTCTCGGCTAGGAAATCATTAAATAAATTGAATAAACTAATGAATAAAATCAACAATAGCATTCATAAAAGTTGTCAAACGTACATATAAAACTACTATTTCCATCTTTTTGTGCGATCATGCAATGCGAGTCGAGTCACTTACAAGTGACATCTCGGCTTTCGCCGCCTCAATCTTCAGGCTTGGACACAATGTTTAATGTGAAAATATATGCATGAAACATTTTTGTCACAGGTCATAACCTACCACGATACGTCCAATAAGTTCCATAATTTACGTATACATAGCGATTTCATGCTTAATATGTTCCGAATAGCATTATTTTACCCAAAACTTTCGTCTAAATATAAAAGTTTTCGTTTACGAGGGCAGTATCCATTGCCGTAATATGATTGGCTGCCTCATGTCACGTGTCTGATTTTGACCAATCACGACTCTTATAGCAGATTGGCGAAAAAGCGTCATTAGAAACCAATCTATATCCAATAAAATCGCTTCTTACAACTGTGAAATACTCTCAGCAAGGGTATAATGATATTGCACAGGCCCCCACTGCGGGTCAGAAAATCGATAAACTAGGCCCCGGTTTAGTATCAACACCCCCTACTATATAATACATAAAGGTTCATCACGGAAATACGACGACATGATCGAAAACCGGACAATTACGCACACATCATCAATATATCCTATTTTAAAAGGCACCTGGATATCAAGCGTTTTGTCCATTTCCTATGTGTGTAGGAGGCATATACACGTGCTCCGTGGGGTGCATTTGTTGGAGGTTTTTAATTGCCAAAGACCGAGTTGTTGTGCCGGAAGTATACCAAACTAGCTCGACTTCACTACTCCGGCGATCTGATTGGCAACACATTACACTGAATGAATGTGTTTCTTTAAAAATATTTGTACTGTTTTTAAAATTATTCTTACCAAGATAAAACATCAGAAAGTGACATCTTGATGATAGACGTTTGAGTTTCCTCTCATTTTAGCACGCATTTGTTGTCATTTTATTAACCAATTTGATTGCGCTGACGACCTAGTTTTGTACACTTCCGGCACAGCAACTCGGTCTTTGGCAATTAAAAAACCTCCAACAAATGCACCCCCACGGAGAGCACGTGTATGTGCCTCCTACACACATAGGAAATATGGACAAAAGCTTTTGATCCCGGTGAGGCCTTTAAAATAGGATATATTGATTGATGTGTGCGTAATTGTCCGGTTTTCGATCATGTCGCCGTATTTCCGTGATGAACCTTATGTATTATATAGTAGGGGGTGTTGATACTAAACCGGGGCCTAGTTTATCGATTTTCTGACCCGCAGTGGGGGCCTGTGTGATATTGTTGATGTTCAGAGCTTTCGAACGATACCCGCCATCAAACGATTCGCCTCGCCTCGCATGTTATTCATACGAAGCTTCGAAAACGGAGGTATTTTCCGTTGTTGTGTCATGTTACCGAGCGGAAAGCCACTGATATCGGGAAATAGGCGACCATACATATTATTTAAGAAATCTTTATAATCTTATTAAAGATTTCTTAAATAATATGTATCGTCGCCTATTTCCCGATATCAGTGGCTTTTAATAATTTTCTGATTACGTAAAAATGAACATATAAAAGAAAAAGGCACGGGGATGTTATGACATGTCACAAATGGAAAAAAAAATCGCCATAGTTTTTGCTTCTTTTGTGATATTTCTGGACATTATAAATGCCTGCATTTTCATTAAAAACTCATTTTAGTTAAGTTGTAGTTGTATTATTTGAAAAATGTTAGAAAAATAAATTTCATATTTATCAACAGTGGGATTAGATCTTTTAATTTTGCTGTATATGTAGAATCCAAGTTGCAACATTAAATGTCATTAACAATTTAGTTATATGATGGCATTGGGATTTTAAAAATATCAAAAAGAGCTTTAGGTCAATGGCCTATCGCCAGACACCCACTCAGGACATTTGTCCTACAGATTTTTATAGGCTTCAAAATCACTGCATGAGTAATGTAAAAATATTTTGCAAAAAAAAAAAAAAATACCTACCTACCTACCTACCCTAGTTCTGAAATGTAGGAAATCGGAACCATAACATTTATTTCTTTTGGCCTAGGGAATATATTGTATACTTATGAGAGCTCATTATTGTTTTCAGAACTCCATGATCCACACTTCCTTGTGTTTGGGAATAAATGGTGTTGGAAGACCTCCCACAATAGACTTGTTCTTTGACCTGTGAACCACCACCCATTTTGTTTTCTTATCATTTAATGTAAAATGGCTTTTGTTACAATTTATGACTCCTGTTAGCAAAATTGCTACATCAGTACAACTCCTATTTAATTTGAAGTAATCGTTTCCGCGAATCTCTAAAGAAAACTAAATCTGACAGAATAACAACAATCTTCCATTGTTTTGCAGGACAATGTCAAACAATTTGATGTCAAGAATGAATGTTGATGGGCAAAACGGCAAGTTTTCTTTTAAGAATACAAGGTTGTATTCAATGATCTCTGGTAATTTAATTACCAAATGCAGCATTTTCATCTTGACCATAGCAAATAATATATGACAGTAAAGCATCGTCTAATTCATCCTGATTCATAGTCTAATTGTATAATCAACTTGCAATTGAGGATTTTCTTTGAAAATGTTTAAGAAAACTTCCATTCCTTTAGTTGAAAATATAAATTGTTTACATTTTTTGTCACATTTTGTATTGATGCTGTTCATATGTTCACATGGCAAGTTACAGCAGTGTAATGAACCTTTCAAGTGACTGATTAAACAAATACTTGAATCATTTAAGACAATATATCTTTCATATAAAATTATTCATGTATTTAAATATAAAATTTCAGAATGTGTCCTATCTCATGGGAATGAGATGGGAATGCATCCGAAGCAAATTTCAAGAAAGAGTTAGGAACGTTTCTGAAGTATCCACCTGACCGCCAGGCAGGGAGTGGCAGAAAGAAGAGAAGCTGTATGTCAGTTTAATGCTATATGCAGATGATATTGTGTTATTATCACAACAGAGATCACCTACAGACTATGTCATGTGTGATGTTTACATTATGCTTTAAACCACGTTTCTCTGTGTGCGTTTGTGTTCATAAAGATTTCATAAAAAGTGACTGGTTTTATGTGCTGTCTTCAGGTATATAGTTCCTGTTCATCTTGGATCCCTTTCATGGTGAAAGTAATTGCATTGTGTTTATTCAGGGGTCTGTCTAATAGCTGAAATTCAGACAAAATGTCTTCTCGGGACAATTTCCACCTTTTCAAGATAACAATACAACAGTAAATAGTTTTTCTTAATTTGGAATACTCTTTTGTTCTTACTGGAATTATACGTCCAACTGACATAAAACTTAAATGAACATTATACTGAATGTGGTATTTTAACCAAGTATTTTATCAGGTAAATATTTTTACCGTAATTTTATGTTTGAACACTGTTTATTGCAGGTAGCTTTTTTGGGTATTTTAGCTGGATGCATGAGTTTGGTGCTACTTTAGTGTAGTTTAAAGATGAAGTGCGAGTCTATTTACAGGAAAGCGTAATACCTCCCAGACACAACCACGGAACAACCCATTTTCAACGTTAATAATATGTCAAACTTCAACGTTGATTCCACGTCGGATATCTACGTCTAAAAAACTTTCATATACAACCTTTTTTCAACGTTGATAATAGGTCAAACTTCAACGTTGATTCCACGTCGGGCATCTACGTCTAAAAAACTTTCATATACAACCTATTTTCAATCTAATTTGACGTTGTTGTGGGAGTATTATCACTTTTTATTAGGATTCGTACACACATTCTTATGTCAAAATGGACATCCTACAATCGACTGCCCTTTACAATGAATTTTTGTGGTTATGGAAAGAGCTGCAAAATATTTTTCGATTCGGTGTCTCATTTTCTATTGTAAAGTAAATCTGAGTGCTTGGAATGCGTGTATAGCTTTATAACGGTATATACAGTGGGTATTGTTGCATTCGTCCTGTGACGAATTTGTTGTGTTGACTTCGTTACATCCCTTTCCTTATATATAGAACCCGTGAAGATCCGGGTTAGAATTGATCTTCAGTAACCCATGCTTGTCGTAAGAGGCGACTAACGGGATCGGGTGGTCAGGCTCGCTGACTTGGTTGACATGTCATCGTATCCCAAATACATTGATCGATGCTCATGCTGTTGATCACTGGATTGTCTGGTCTAGATTTGATTATTTACAGACTGCCGCCATATAGCTGTAATACAGCTGTGTATGACGTAAAACTCAACTCACCCTTATAAACTATAGCTACTCAAAACAAGTTAAGGGTCAAAACTTTTAATGGCAATAACTACCAATATAAATAATACTAAAATGTAGCGATCATATAACAACTCGAGCCAACATTTCATGATAACCATAACGGGAGAAAAAAACAGCAGGGGGGTAAGCGCAGTAGTTGGAACAGTGAAACAAATGCCCGTGCGGTACGTAATGAGCGTTAACTTCGACCAAACCTACATGTACTGGGTGTTTTATTGAATGCGCATACCCCCTTGTAATACAAGCCAATAACAGCGCTTTGAAACTATGATCGCTTGTTAAACAACTTTTATCCTAAGCTGAATAAAATTCTGAGATTTGAATGTTCAATAGGCAAGGTAATATTATGGGAATTTGAAATCTTAGTTTCACTTATTTGATTTACTTTTTTAAGTGATATTCATCGGTACGTTTTCACTGCAAACAGACTATAAGCAGTCGATTGCACGATTTCACACGATTTTAAAAAACCAGTTCGGGCGCGAGAATGTTTTCAAGTAGCCCCAAATATGCGCAATATTACTGATAATTGACATTTGTACGGGAAGACCAATGCGCATGCGTTCTCTGACTCGCATGTGGCATAGAAAACGTTTGGAAGATCACACGTTCGTCGGCCATGGGTGCTGACGAATGGACAGAGGATTTTCTTTCTCAAATTGACAGTTCGTTAGCGTCACAGTTCGACCTGGATGATAAGGAAGATTTTAAGTTAACGACTGATCAAGACAACCGCCGTTATGGTGAGCTCGTCATTGAAAATGAATTACGACAATTTCAACAAACACGAATCCCTACAAACAAGTCGAAAAACACCCGGTGGTGTATTAACCTGTACGACAATTGGGCACGAGCAAGAAATACCAAAGTAAGCAAGTATGGCACCACAGCAAGTGAAAAATATGTATTTGTTCCCCCATTTTCAATTGACATAACCAGTGATGTGTTAGACTTCTGGATGTGTCGTTTTGTATGTGAAGTCCGGCGTCAGGATGGTTCACCATATCCAGCAATGTCATTAAAGAACATTTGTATCGGAATATGGCGATATATTCGTGATGAGTACAAGCGATACGACTTAAACTTTTTTTGATCAGAAACTGGCTACTTTTGCGGACTTTAGAGCTACTTTGGATGCAAAAATGAAAAAGTTGAATTCGGATGGAGTGGGCGTAGTGAAGAGACAGGTAGAGCCAGTTTCACTTTGGCAGGAAGAAAAACTATGGGCCACTGGGGTGTTTGGAATGGACGATGCCCAGTCACTGTTTAACGCAGTCTATTTTTATAACTGCAAGGTCTTTGGATTACGTGCCGCTAATCTGAATGTGGCTAATTTTCATTTTGGATCTGATGACCAGGGAGAGTATGTGGAGTTTAGCGGTGGAACCTGTAAGAAGAATCAAGGTGGACTGAAGCAAGGTGGCAGAGTTGCATTCCGGTAAGTTGTACTAATTTAGGAGCCGAAAACACACTGTTGTCTTTGGAAATTGTTACATTATCAGGGAGAAAACATGAATAGGGAAAAAGCTTCTGTTGCACCGACATGTTAGAACTTTTCTTAATGTTTGGTCGTGATTACAGACGATGGCATGTGCATTTCATTGGTCAATTTCCGTATTTCAGTTAATTCCAATTTCTGAACTTTTTAATGTTAGTCTATGTATGTGTTTCGAATGGCATGTTTCTTTCGCATACTGAAATCTCTTTACAGACAGATAAGGCAGTACGCACAACCTACGAATAGTAGATGCTACATCAAACTTATTCGCCGCTACCTGCAGTATATACCCGCAGAGGGAAGCTTCTACCGTTGACCACTCCTAGCAAAGGGGGACCAGAACATTCGCTTTTCACAGCAGAAAGTTGGGGTACATACTTTTGAGAAGCTGTTCCGCAACATATGCTTGTTAGCTGGTTTAGAGGGGAGACATACCGGCCATTCGGGAAAGGTACTGTATCGGTATTGTGCAAACATTTGATTTTATTTGTATAATATTCACCTTTCCTGTGATTGGTGTTCCATCTCTGATACCTGTGAAACCGACGGTGTCCCCCTTTCAAAGTACAAATGTATATCACTACAAGCTATTCATATATTTATCCATGAAAGTTAACACATTATTTTCGTTTAGGTGACCACGGCCACTAGACTTTTCAACGAGAAGGTGGATGAACAACTTGTGATGGAGAGGACGGGCCACCGTAGTACCGCTGTCCGCGCCTACAAGAGGACATCGTGAGAGTTGCAACAAGATATTTCTAATATATTGCAACCACCCATGCCACAGGTGAAGAATGACCACTCACCAAAGCCGAAAATCACGAAGTTGGAGACAAGTTCAACGGTTACCCCAGTAGCTACACCCCTTTCTAAGTGCTCGCCTTCAAAGAAACGGGTTGTAATAAAGTATTGTCATGAAGCAGGTGAAACAATCGAAATCTCAATTTGAGTCCATTGAAATAAAATTAAATTCGCCGTTTGTTGTCTTTATTGCTTCGTTATACCCTAGTGAAAAAGTGTAGGTGTATCATTGATACACCTACACTTTTGACAGGTGTACCGGTCAATACACCTACACTTTTAACAAGGGAAACAATGGCAACGAGACCGGAAGTGGGGTATAAGATTCATTACTGAGTGACGGCTGTCGCCACCGACGAAGAAAGTACAACTACTGTATCACTTTGGGCGACTAACAATGACCAACAACTTTCAGCTTAATATGACAGTTTATCTTACCTCCATTTAAAATACTTTTATTTCATTGGTCCATTACGGTTTAACAAGTTTCCGTGTCACCCTGAACTGGTAAAAATATTACCCGCTGCCACGGTAACCGCCAAGCTATCCGTCGAGAAGCTGAAGCGCTAACAATCGTATGACGTCATAATATGACGTATGCAGTGCCCGGAGTTCGAAACCGTTCGATCAGCTGTTTTTTGTGTTCACTTTGTACACTCTCCTACCCAGAGTTCCATGCGGCAAGCCAGCATAGTATCTCTGCCACAGGCCAGAAAAATGTGACGATTCGTCACATCTTGCACCGTCCATTCACTATAATTTACATATTTCTCAACTCTTTTATTTTTGACGAGTCTACACAACTAATTAAACATCTTTGATAGAATGGTTTAGTTTCATTGAGAAAATATCCTAAAACATGTAACGCTATTTCGATTTGCGTAGCGATCCTTTGTTTACATAGGTTGTACGGCTCGTAACTCTCCATTCCTTAAAAATAATGTGCCTCGGCCCTCCGGGGCCTCGGCTCCATTATTTTTAAGGAATGGAGAGTTACTCGGACATTACCCTCTACATAATCCCTGACCGTTTACCTTTCTTTGTTCAATGCCATGGTTCACCAGGTACAGGAAACCAGTTGTACTGAAGGCATCATATATCTCCTTGGCCGTCGTCTCCAGAACGTCATCCGTCACGGACGTTGGGTCTGCAACATTCAGTCCGTACTTCTGGAAGTCAACAGTTGGGATAGCAGACGCAGCCATTGCTTTGTATTACGTCACCAAGGTCACGCAAAGGTTAGGTCATTGTGACTTTGTGTGGTGGGGCGTTTCAGATTTCAATGTTCACTAGGACACATTAGATAAACCCCTTACAAGGAAAGGGTGTCAGGTGTTAGAATCTCGTGATCTGAAACAAGTTATATCTCGATCAACACATCGTTCAGGCCATGTCATAGATTGGGTCATATCAAGAGGTGAGAGCCTCATAAGAAATATCCAAGTTGACGACACACAAATGTCTGATCATCATATGATCACATTTGATTTAGATGCAAAGAAACCTATATCTACCCGCAAAGAAATACAAGTACAAAACTTAAAACGTGTAGATATTTTACAGTTTAAGGATGACCTGCAAAGGTCAGAGCTTTTATGTAATCCTCCTACTCAACTTGACGATCTAGTTAATATGTTCAACAGCACTCTCTCTGGACTTCTACAGAAACATGCTCCAGTCAGATCAAAACTTGTGCGGGAAAGACAATCAACTAAATGGTACAATGGAGATGTATTACAGAATTGTAGAACGTCACTGGCGCAAGTCACGTCTGGAAATCCACAGACAAATCTACAACTCAGCGCGAAATGATGTCAAGAAAGCCATACGACGAGCAAAAGCTACCTATTACAACAGTGAACTTTGAAAAACTCTGGTAATCCAAGGCTATTATATTCTACTCTGAATACACTGACAGGAAAACAAAGGGACATAACAGTTCCTCGTGGAACTGATGTTGCAATTGCAAATGACTTCGCTACCTACTTTCAAGACAAAATTGTGAAATTGCGTCACAGTTTGGGGAGCATGTGTGACAATGTTTCATACAAGGAATACAGTGGTCAAGACCTTGAAGCCTTTCGACCTGTCAGTGAATCAGATTTGCTAAAGCTCATCAACTCTTCTAAGCAAACAACGTGCAAATTGGATCCAGTTCCAACAGATTTCGTGCTTCAAATGCTTGATGTATTTCTGTCATCCATAACCCAAATAGTGAACCTTAGTATTCTCAGTGGTGAGGTACCTACATCCTCCAAAGCCGCTGTGGTGAAACCTTTGATCAAAAAGTCATCTTTAGACCCGCAAGTACTAAAGAATTATAGACCTGTGTCAAATTTAAGCTTTCTTTCAAAGATCTTGGAGAAAGTGGTAAAAACACAGCTACTTGAACACCTTGAAGACAACGACTTATTGGAGAAGTTCCAGTCCGCGTATCGAGATGCTCATAGCACAGAAACAGCTCTGAACTATGTCTTGGATAGAATCAGAATGTCTGTTGATTCTGGCAAGGTTGCAATGCTCATCTTATTAGACTTATCGGCAGCGTTCGATACTATCGACAACCAGAAGCTCATCGATCGTCTACAGCACCAGCATGGGATACGTGGAAATGTTCTGCAATGGTGTTCCTCATATCTGACAGGGAGGACACAATCCATTCTTATCAACAAGACAATGTCAGACAAGCTCGATCTCTCATGTGGTGTTCCCCAGGGGTCGGTGTTAGGCCCAATGATGTTCACCACGTACACTAGGCCATTGGGACAGCTCATCCGGGATCGTGACACAGATCACCATTTTTTACGCTGATGACACTCAGCTGTCTGACAGTTATACTTTAGACCAGGATAACCAGTCATTGACATGTCTGAAAATGGAACAATGTCTTTCAGATGTCAGATCATGGATGACATCAAACAAGCTGGTGCTAAATGATGATAAAACCGAGGCTATCCTTATTGCTCCGAGTTCCGGACTACAGAAATGCCAGGTTCCTAACATCAGAATTGGAGATACAAACATAGTGTTTTCCCCTGTGGTAAAGAATCTTGGTGTTTATCTAGATTCAGGTCTCAACATGGAGCAACACGTCACTCATGTGTGTCGTTCCTGTCACTTCCATATCGGGAACATTGGAGCCATCCGCCATCTCTTAACAACTGATGCTGCTGCCACTCTGGCAAGATCCCTCCTTTTATCCAGGCTGGACTATTGCAATAGTCTTTGTGCAGGCATCACTTCTGAACAACTAGACAGACTTCAGAAGATCCAGAACAGCGCAGCAAGACTTGTCACTAGAACCAAATCCAGATGTCACATATCTCCCATTCTAAAGTCACTCCATTGGCTTCCCACCCGCGAAAGAATAAAATTCAAAACGCTGTCTCTTGTATATTCAGCACTAAACTGTTCATCGCCCTCCTACATGCAAGATCTTATAACACCCTACACTCCAGCGCGGTCTCTCAGATCTCAAGACAAAGGTCTTCTCAGTGTCCCAAAATGCAAGTTGCAAACTTTTGGCGGCAGATCTTTCAGCGTTCACTCAGCTTCCCTCTGGAACTCACTACCTCTCCATGTCAAGTCATCTCCTTCCATCTCCATCTTTAAATCAAGACTCAAAACATTCTTGTTCAACCACAACTAAATCTTATAAAACTTCTTCCTCTATATAGTGTACATATTTACTGTTGCGCAAAGAGCATGCCCTTGAGGTGTGGAGTTACTACTGCGCTCTACAAATGTCCATATTATTATTATTATTATTATTATTATTATTATTATTATTAGATGAACTATTTGACATGAATATTCAACGAACTGAAATTCATATTTCTGCCCGGACTTTCTCCTTTTGGTGTTGCAATAAAGAAGTGTGCCAGTAAAGAGGTGTTTTCTCCCTTGTGATCGTAAAGGCGCACTTGATGGTAAGGCTAGCACAATGCAGCGAGCTGGAGTGCAATAAGGAGGTAATTGGATCGGAGAGAGAGCAAAGTACGCTCATGCTGCGCCCGTCAAACTGCACTCTCCCAAAGTTTCGAAATAAAAATAATTACACCTATTCAGATAAGGAGGATTCCCAGTTCGCAAGGAAGGCTAAATATTTGTGAAAATACCCAAGCCTACACCCTCACACCACGTTTATGAACATTATAATTAATCATTAGTTCGAATAAATTAATTTGAATTTGTAAACAAACAGCTTTAAGTCATTCCTGTACAATGGCTGGGAAATAAATATTACTAAACTAGATAAAATGTTGAATATATAGAATACATCTGCAACCATAAGCTATAATACTGTGGCGTTAGTATTGCAGTTTCAGAATCGTTTTGAAATGTAAACACCTAACCAAAAACCTCCTGTTTAGAGTGAAATTGTGTTGACTTTGAGTGAGATTTTTGTACGAGACAGTACAAAGCTCAAAAGGTTATTCCTAATGCTTTCTGAACACAACGTCAACTCCAGAGAATAATCAGTCTAGAATAACTGTCCCCAAAAAGGCGTAAAAGAGCACAAAAAAGTTGTGAAACACTTCACTTTGAGACCGAGTGGAGCGTGTGTGTCAGGGGCGGATCCTGGATCTTGGAGAAGGGGGTGCACATAAATCATGAAGTTCAAAGGGTAGGCGAAAATGTTCCTCAGGGAAAACTGTTAAGGGGATAATGGGGGCACGCCCGCAAGCACGTACACACACATCCCCCAACAACCACCACCCCACTCCCCCTACCCCTCATCCCCTATACATGAAAACAGCGGTTGAGGATTACAGATATTGCTTAATCGTTCCACTGGACCAACTGTGGGAATATATATTGTTCTGTCAACAGGTAGACTAACATCTGGTGTGTGGTGCCTTAAGACTTGATAAACAGTTTTGTGTGACTGACCGTTGTCCGCGTTAATATCCGCTCTTGCTACTGAAGTTAATCGTATTTTCTCATCAAAATAGCGATAGACTTGTTATAGTGAACTTTGGTGACTCTATCGGGACGGGATTATGTAATTTAAATTGGCCGAGGCGCTGATGATAACAGAGACTGAGGTTTTGTGAGTGAGTGAGTGAGTTTAATTTTACGGCGCACTCAACAATATTCCAGCTATATGGCGGCGGTCTGTAAATAATCGAGTCTGGACCAGACAATCCAGTGATCAAACAGCATGAGCATCGATTTACGCAATTGGGATACGATGACATGTGTAAACCAAGTCAGCGAGCCTGACCACCCGATGCCGTTAGTCGCCTCTTACGCAAAGCATGGCGTCACCTGAGAACCAGAGTGTTCTATCTCCACTTTTTGGAAAAAATGAGTTAAGGTTTTCTGGGTACTTCTCATTGTGTATTCTATCTCCAAATAAAATTGTGTAGCTGTATCTAGCTTAGAAAGTGGTTTTCAGACAATTAACATCAGTTCTATCTCCACAAATTAAAAAGGTTTTCAGTTCCATACTGTTCTATGTCCCTAACTAATCAAAACGGTCGATTTGGTCACATGACTTGGAGATAGGACAATCTGGACCTGAACTTTCGTCGGATGTCACATGGAAATGGTGAGTATTTATCTTCACTTTTTTATTGTAACTCTTGTTTTCTCGAATGGATGAAAGTGTGCAATAAGTGATAATTAACCCTTGACATCCCAATATATTAATTTGAAATGTAACAATTGATAATTTTGGAGTAAAGGCACTATTTGAAGTTTGACATGGAGATAGAATACTCTGGTTCTAAGAGTATGTCATGTTTTCCTACTATGTTTGTTGGACATAGAACGTTTTTCAATATCACATATTTTTCATCTTTTCAGTGTTCCTGATGCAGTGAAATGTTACCAAGGTTACCTGAGGAAGTCATCATTGACATTCTAAGCTATGTACCTTTCAAAGAACTACTATTGAATGTGTGCCAATATCTGCATCATCTTATCCTGAATTCACAAAAGATTTGGAAAGACACAGAATTCTATGGCCTGAAATTAACATTTAAACAGCTGCATGGTCTCCTCTCTCGGTCCCATTACTTTTGGTATTTACAGATACCTTTTACGGAAGTTGAAGGCCCAGTGTCCGTCACTTATTATATTTTCATAACAGGATTTCTTCAAGCTGACAAACTATGATGGTTAAACATAAGAGAGATGAACGTTTCTACTCTTGGATTTCTACTCTTGGAGTTTACCCAACCTTGAACTGTTAAATGATGAACACTGCAAATATAAATGTGATGAAGAATTTATCATCATCAAAGCATGTGAAAACCTGGAACATCTGAATGTGAGCTTCACTCATGTCAGTCCGAACACCTTAACAGAAATATTTCAAAAGACAAAGAGTTGTTTCAATTTGGAAGCATTTGGAGTCAATTCAATTTGGATAACTGCATTGAATTGTTAAGCATTGCTTATTTCTATTACCTGACATTTTTGGGCCTGAGTCTGGACGATTCCTTCAGTGAAGCGGACTTTAATTACTATATTGAACAGGAATTTGTTGATTGCCAATACAGAATAAAAAACTGAGTCATGTCTGAAATTCTTGAACTGGATCAAGTTCTAGCGTTGGTAACAGAAAATTAAGATCAAGATTCTGATGATAATGATAATGTTTATAAGGTACAACCGGTCATTAATATGGGCAATGATGGCAATGCAGTGTCTTCTGATCAGACCAAGAATGCATGTAATCCATCAATCCAAACAACAGAAATTCACGTTTCTCAAATTGTTGAAGTTTCGACTCCACACATAAATGAATCAAATCCTGCAGATCATGAAGAGTTGATTGAGCCCTCAAGATCCCGACAACGTTTTACTTGTCCTAGAGCGAATATATCAAGCTTCTTTTACCGCAGAAAACTTGCTGTGTACAACCTCACGGCACATAGTACGATAGGACATATCGCATACTGTGCAGTTTGGCATGAGAAACTTGCAGGAAAAGGAACCAATGAAATAGCAAGTGCTCTTTGTGCTATTCTTGCTGAACTCAGTCGTGTCTCAGTCGTGTCTTAGAATAACACACATTTTCATTCTCAAGAGTTTCTCACAATTCTTTAGCAGTTTAAAGGTCACATGCAACCAAAAAATCAAACATAATTAAAACACAATTATCACTTATTCATGACATATAATATACATTGCTGGTAATGAAAAAACATATAAACAAAATTATAAGCGTACAATCGCAAATGAAAAGTGCAATATTGTGTACTTCGGTTTACTTCCCAAGAAACGAAGCAGCCGGGATACCGAACCCAGTCAGAGCGGGTGGGTGTGCACTCAAGTGTAACGGCTGGTTCATTTGCAGATGCCCTCACGGCTCATTGTGTGTGTATATATAGAGATGTTGGGTTTTGTAAATACATGCTCATTTTTTGTGTATAACATTTTGCAATCAACAGACATCATAACATGTCATGTGTTCAAGTATCACACCTGCCTGTCTGTGTAATTACATAATGTGACAGAGACCGAACTCGGGCCATAAATCAATGCATTTTGTTTATGGTGTATAGCCTGATTGGTGTTAAGTTCAAATTGCATGTGGTCAGTGATAGCAGCTGTGTATTGAATATTGTCAGACAGGCAGGCAGACACACAGGTGTCAATAAAACAAGACATTGAGTTTTGTCTGTGACAACGACATATCTATATCACAGTTAGAAATTCTGTACAACGCTAAATAATGACATTGCTTTTAAGTATCGAACTGAGAAAGTGACTCGGTAAGAAGAACGTGTGGTGAAAAAGACAAATGAAATTATATAAACAGTTAATTTACTGTCATAACATATAAAAGGCTCGCGCCTGTGAGATATCAACAAAACATTAGAAAAATAGCTCACACCAAAGCCTTCACCGAGTATTCACCCGACAACCCGCTTCCATGCTGCGCGAACCTATTTCACTGCGCACGTGCTATGAGCGCAGCCCAGCTGTTGAAACCCGTTTTCCCCAGAAAAGTCGGGGGAAAATTAGTGAAACGTTTGAACTCCGATTTCGCGCGGTTTTTTTCATCGCGTTATTTTTTCACTTTATAAGTTGAATTTGAATTTTCGACGATTTGTTTCGGTAAGTCCATACCGAAAGGTATCAGAATCTGCAAAGTTGTGTTTTACGTTGCATGTGACCTTTAACAAAATACCATGCAAATAATATGTATTGGATGTTTAATTTAACCTAATTAAGGCATTTTGATAAAATTGAGGAAACTGTGATATAAATATTGACTAATAAATAATAATGATATAAAATTTGTGCTCTCAAATCTTTTTTCCTATATGCTATTTTCTTGACCACTCATTTTACTAGTGTATAGAGACCTGAAATGAAAACATATTTAAATTTTTTTTTATATAAACATTGATTTAAAGACTTCTATTTCATGTCTCATTCCACCAAACCATTGCTATGCCATATTAAGATTAACAATCTCTGTTTGTGTTTATTCACAGGTTAAAGTCAAGACGTAGACTGTGAACACCGGTGGCGATGTCTAAACATTATGATGTTATTAGTGTCGACCCAGGAATAAATTCTGAGCAGTCAGGCAACTCTATAGATTGGAAGCAATGTATCTTTTGCCAGAATATTAGTAAAGAGCCATTGCAATGTCCTGCTAAATCCAAAAGAAAAGATGTTGGTGCTGGGTACAAATATGTTGCAGAACATCTGCTTCAGTTCAGCAAGATTAAAGCACTACCATTAAATGTTAGCATTAAGCACCTCGATGATGGCAGTGG